AGTATACACAACACAACCTCTCGCCACAATCCTCAGGAACCCCATGGCTAGCGGGAGAATAACCAAATGGTCCCTGATGATCGGCCAGTACAACATAGAGTTCAAGCCGAGGCCGACGATCAAGGGGCAGGCGCTGGCGGATTTCATCGCCGAATGCACTGCACGCACCGAGGACGATCCCCAAGACGACAATGACTTTAACAACTGGTGGGAGATGTACACCGATGGGGCCTCGAGTGCGCGGGGTTGTGGCGGAGGAGCAGTGATTACCTCCCCTGAAGGTTTCAAGGCCTATTACTCCATGAAGTTCGAGTTCAAAGTCACCAACAACGAGGCTGAATACGAGGCACTGATTGCAGGATTGAAATGTGAAAAGGCGCTCGGAGCAGCTCGTCTGAAGGTGAGGATGGACAGCCAGCTGGTGGTGACTCAGATGAATGGGACGGCTGAAACCAGAGAAGAAAGAATGAAGGTCTACAAGGAACTCACGGAGTAGCAAACCGCGCAGTTCGAACAAGTGGTAATCGAACAGGTATCTCGGGTGGAGAATGCTGAGGCTGACATATTATCTAAGCTAGGCAATCCCCCGACGGATGACCCTACGACGAGCATCCCCCGCCACATTAGGGGCTTCGACAGGCAGGAGACGCTCCCAGCACCAGCGACGGACGTTATCCAGGTAGAGGCCATCTCCATCGCCGAACCAAATTGGTCGAAGGAAATCGCCGACTACCTCAGGGATGGGACGCTCCCCGAGCCAGAAGATGATGGCAATTCCGGAAGGGCGGCTTGGGTGAAGAGACGTGCCCCCAATTTCGAACTCATTGACGGACAACTTTACAAGAAGACGTTCGGCGGGCCATACTTGAGATGCCTCCCGCCGAGCTTGGCAGCGGCCGTTATTGAAGAGATACATGAAGACATTTGTTCCAGCCACCAGGGTCCCCGTACCTTGGCACGAAAAATTATCCTGCAGGGGTACTACTGGCCGACCATCCAACAAGATTGCTTCAATCACACTCGGAAATGTGCGGTTTGCCAGCAGTACGCTCCTGTCCCTGGGCGCCCAGCAAGTTTCTACACTCCAATGACGGTCGCGTTGCCCTTTGCTAGGTGGGGCATAGACCTATTGGGCCCTCTACCGACGACGACCGGCGGAAGAAAATTTGTTATCGTGGCAATCGACTACTTCACAAAGTGGGTAGAAGCTGAGCCACTGGCCTCCATCACCGAATACCAATGCCAAAGGTTCGTCGGGCAGAACATCATATGCCGCTTCGGGATCCCAGAACAGGTCATCACGGACAATGGCCGACAGTTCGTCGGCCGAGGATTTGAAGCATACTTGGCTAAGTGGGGGATCAGGCATTCCAAGGCCTCGGTGGCCTACCCGCAGGCCAACGGCCAGGTGGAGAATATGAACTGGACCATCATGGATGGGATCAAGAAGAAATTAGAAGATTACGCATCCACCTGGCCGGAGCAGCTCAACTACGTCCTTTGGACGTACAGAACGACCCCAAGAACGGCAACCGGCGAAACACCTTTTGCCTTGGCATACGGATTTCAGGCCAAGGTGCCAACGGAGGTGCTGGTGCCCACGCATCGCACGAAGCATTTCCAACCAGAGGACAACGAGACCACTTTGCGAGCGGAGCTCCATTTCATTGAGGAACGAAGGGACCTAGCAGCCCGTCGCATGGAAGAATACCACCGAGCCACCCAGAGATACTTCAACAAGGCGGTGAGGATCCGCGAAATTGAAGTCGGGGACCTCGTACTTAGAAAGAGAGAGAAGAGCAAACCGCTCGAAAGTGGCAAGATGGCCAAGAATTGGGAAGGGCCGTACAGGGTCATACGAAGATACAACCAGGGGACGTTCCTCCTCCACACCTTGGAAGGGAACCACGCTGGAATCTGGAACGTAGAACACCTGAAGAAATTCTACCAATAATTAGGGATAGATCATTTTTATCATTTTCGGTCGAAGCACCGTGTAACATTACCGATCGTCCTCTCTATACTAAAAGATTCCTTCCTATCTTTTACTTCCTACAGAGAGATTAAAGCCGAAGTGCTATTGAAATGATTTCCTCAAAAAAAAAAGAAAAAAAAAGAAGAGGAGAAGGGGATATAAACTCCTATGAGAGAGGGAGTCTTGACGAGGTATGCCAGATCTTCCCACTACCCGCGAAAGACGAATGACTCCTGACACGGAGGTTGGGGGGGGGGGGGGGGGGGGGGCTAGACGAACCAAGGGAACCTCGGCAAGATAAACCAGTTCCTCCCATTACCCATGGATCGACGAACACCTTCTGCCGAAGCAGAAGGCTAGTAGGACCACGAGCGTGGGGCGACGAAGCAGGGAACCCGCGACACGGTAAACCAGTTCCTTCTTGCGATCGGTGGATGCCGAACATCTTCTTCGAAGTAAGAAGATTAATAGGATCACGACAGGGACGAACGAAGAAACGGGAACCCTGACAGGGTATACCAGTTCCTCCCCCTTGATGGACGGATGACGAACGTCTTATGCGAAGCCAGAAGACAAGTAACTCACGACTGGGGACGAATAGAGATAGGGAATCCCGATGTGGATAAACCTGTTTCTTCTCATAGTTGGGATGAAGAACGTCTCCTGCAAAATCAGGAGACCAGTAACTCACGAGACTTGGGAAGAGCAAAGACTGAAAAAAGACTCCAAAAAAAAATGCCAGACGAGCATGGAGCAAAGAATGATAACAATTTTATTCTTCGGCACTGTTGACCAGAAAAATACAAAGTACAATACAACGAACGGAGCTGCAGGCTAATCGACGTCCGGAGCCGGAACCTTGAAAGGAATTTGCTTGGCCTTTTCTCTGGCCTCAGCTTCCTCCTGCTCCTTACGCTCCTTCAGCAGCTCAAGGGCCCCCTTGTAGGCATCCACCATCAGTGAATCAAAACCGGCCGCCACCGGATCAAAGGGAGCCCCAAAGTGGCGCTCGAAGGCCGGGAGATTCTCCGCCACCAGGCCGATCATACCCTTGAGGTAGGTGTCATCGGCAAGATCATCGAGAAAGCGCTCCCCAGTGGGGGTGGCCTGGAGCAATTTGATGCCATCTAAATAAGGGTCGGGACAAGTGGCAAGATATTCTCCGACGAACTTCGGAAGGAACTTCCTGGCCATGGTCTGGATGGCACCGGTGTAGGCTTTGGACTTCTGAAATTCGATGGAACCAGATTCCTTGATCTTCGAAACGTCGGCCTCGTAGATAGGGACATGGTTATCTACACCTATGCGACGAACGTCCACCCCGGCTTGGGAAACTGCCCACATCCGGCTCCGCAGATCCACCAGCTCGGCCTCATGCTTCCTCACGAGTTCCTTCTGAGAGGCACTCTCTTGGACAAGCTTGTCGTAGGCATCAGCCTTCTCCTGGAGGGTCCCAACCCTGCCCTTAGCATTCTTTAGCAGAGCGTCGCATTCAGCTCGTACAAGGGACATCTCCCTCCCCTGCTGTTTGAAAGCCATCCGAGCCCTATGGAAGTAGAGCTCGGCCTTGTTCAGAGTACTCTGGCCACACTCCAGAAGATCCTCGGGGGCCTCCTGTGCGGCAAAGTCTTGAGGAACCGTGAGATTGAGGCCACACCAGATGGAAGACGCGGTCTGTCCAAAGAGCATCATTGACTCCTTGCGGGGGCCGACCCCGGAAAACTCAATAAGACCGAGAGAGGACTTGTTGGGTTCTGGAGGCGATGAAGAACGAGCGTCACCAGACCCCCCAACGGTCTGTACGTCCTCATCACGAAGGCGACGAACGTTAGAGTTCAATGACGGAGAAGGAGGGGGCTTGCTCCTTGAAGTATGCTTCCTTTTCAGAGGACTCCCGGGCTCCTCATCAGAGTCATCGGCCACTACGATGGCCTTAGAGGCAATTCCGTCAAAACGAGGTTTCTTCAAGGTTCCGGCCTCCGGGGCCTCCTCAGTTCGCGACCTCGTCACCTGGGACTCCACCTTGGGAACGAGCGGCGCCCTCCCCCTGCCCTGATCTCTACCTTCGCGGCTGTGGGCGGGAATATTGTTGGAACGTCCCATAGAAGATGAAGACGGGAAAACTCCTGCAGAAAAGGAACCAAGACGTTCAGAACCATAACAACGAAAGGATGATAGAACAATGCAAGTACAAACAGACGCACCTAGTTCGGCCCGAGCTTTGAAAGGCTCGACCACCAGCGACCGGAGGTTTTGGACGCCAAGTCCAGCTATGCGCTTGGCATAGCCAAGCTCCTCATCCGTCATAGGCGGTGGAATGGACTTCACCGGATAGGCGTTCCACCTATCGGAGAATGGCATCGGGGAGCCTACTTCGGCGAGGAAGAACCGCTCCTCCCAGCCGTCCAGATTCCCGGCGTTGTTTGAGAATAGGACCATGGATGGACGTGCAATAAGGGTTAAATACCCCGTACGTCCGAAGGGGGACAACCGGAAGAAATGGTGCAACAAATCTACGGTGGGGGTCACGCCAACGCTGTGGCACCTAATTATAAAACCCGCGATGATCCTGTAAGCAGCGGGGACGAACTGAGCGGGCGTCACTTTAAGGCTCCTAAAAAGTTCTATATGGAAGTTGTGGAGAGGGAAAAGAAGGCCAGCTATAACGGAATCTAAATGAACCACCACATAGCCGGGCAGATGGCGCATTGGATTGCGCAGACGACGGTCGTCGTAAACCCTCGGAGGGAAGAACTATTGGCTTATCAACCGACGGTCCATGTTCAAAAGACGCTGGCGACGAACGCCGGAAAAATTAAGGTGATGACGGGGGGCCGAGGTGGCATACCCCGCTCATAGAACTCCCAGGGCCGGCTTGACACATTAAGAGACCCGATGCGAATCACACAAATGAGGCCTTTTTTAAAAAATAAATAAACAAATCTAAGGTACATATGAATCGTTCAGATCTAGATTTGCTACAAGAATACCAAAATCATCTAGCACATTGAGTAAAATATAACATTCATCACTCTCAACTAGCACATCATTACAATTTCCAGATCCTGCATTTACATTATCATTTACAATTATCACATCATCACCGTCAACCACATTAAAACCTTGTTTTTCAACACAAACTTGAGGATCTTTTTTTGATAAATTCATCAAGAGCTTCTGCTTGAAATTTTATTAATGCTTCAGGTTTTCGTTTTTTCTTCCGCTTGTCATGACGAGTTCGTACTTTTTCATTCCGGGAGGCATAACATCAAGAAATCAAAATAACCTCAATTACCTTTGGCCGGAACACTCGAGTAACTGAATCACAGAATCGTTCGGCCAAGTAAAGCAATCAACATTTTTTTTTTATTTAGAACAGAATCAAAAACAGAATTTCAAATCCTAATCTGTGAAAGAGTGGATGTGAGAAGCAAAGCTGTGGAGAAAGAGAAATGAAGTAATGGTGCAAATGTGAAGTGCCGACCTGTTTTGGGAAGTTGGAGGGTTTTAGCTTTTTTGATTGTGCTTCATAAAAGCAAATGGGCTCCCCCATCAATAAATATTAATATACACTTCATACTCCATATTTTTATAAATTAAAGAATTACTTTATATATATATATATATATATATATATATATATATATATATATTTCCATATATGTATATATAATATATATATTTTTTAAAATGGGCCTTCCGTTTTTGTAGGCCCTGTGCTATAGGTCTGTTTGCACAGCCTTATCTATGGCTCTGAGAACTCCAGGTCATCACCGGAGGAGCACCCGTCGTCAAACCTATCCCCGGTGGACGACGAGCTGTTTCGGGTCCTTGAATCAATATTTTGGGGCTCCAACCTAGACAAAGACATGACGACGTTCGGTACCTACGGGTTTTGGAGCTTGAGGCAGTGCAGAAGAAAGCTAGAGAGAGAGAGAGTAGTTGCACAGCACAAGGACTAGAGATGAAGCGAATGGGGAATCCGCGAGATTTTGGGTACTCATAGACAGCACCGTGGGATCACGCTAACCACGGCTGGACACGTGGCGCCTAAATACCGGTACATTCCGCGGTATTAAAAGCACCTCGATGTCAGCACCACCTAATTGCGACAAGGGTTAGGGGGGTCAGTGCCATGAGCGTCCCGCGCAACGAATGGGGCATGTCATATCATGAGCATTTTTCGCATACCGAAAGGGCGCAAATGGAAGGGGGTTCATCAGCTCCAAAAGTTCACACATACGAGGACCACACCCACGTTTGATCCGGTATTAGTAACAGGTAGAAGACGCACGTATCCGGCAGACAATGTTGCCTGCATTTTCGCGTTCGTATTCTTGGAACCTCGTGTCACGAAGAACCGGACGGAACATTAGCAGAGGAGCATCTCCCTGTGGCACCAAAGCAGGTGCTATGCGTATCAGGAGCAGCTACGTTCGTACTATGTTCGTATCAGGAGCATCTCCCCGAAGACGAACGTCGCCACCTGAATATTGGATGTGGCCAGTATGTTCATACTGCCATACTTTGCGGATAACCCAAGGCGGCGAAGCACGAGCGGAAGGACGTCGCCCCGGGGTGGAGAGATAGATGCTATATGCGACAGGAACAGCTATGTTGTTCGCATAAATATGCTTACATAGGCGAACGTCGCCCCACAATACGGGGTTCAAGCAACACGTCCATACCTCCACACTTTGGGAACATGAAGGTCAATCGGGGTGAGACCCACGACGAGCAGACGTCGCTCGGAATAAAAAACTGAGGGCTGGCATGACCGTCCTTGCGGACTTATTGAAAGAAAGAAAAAATAGCAAAGCGAAAGATCATGAACGTAGAGACAATGATGGGGCAAAAAGAGTTGTATATTCCTCAGCTCTACTGGCTGGATATTACAGAATCAGAACAAAAGAGATTATAATTTACATCAGACAAAATTGGGGGAAACCGGCCGGGACCCGCCGGGGACATCTTCTTCTTCTTCAATTTCGGGCTCAGGGGCCGGAGGTTCCGGAATTTCCCCTCTGGCTTTGGCCTCTTCTCGACGGGCATCGCGATCCAGCTTGCCCAAGGTCCGGAGCAGCTCAGCGTCATCGGTATGCTGGGCCAGATTGAAGCCGGGGCCTTGGAGCTCGGCAAAAATAGGCAGGGTAGCCTTTACCCCTTCATTGAAGCCGATGGCGAAGGAACTATCTCCAACGTCGTACAAGAACTTCTCTGACAGAGGGGCGCTCTCCAAGACCCGGACCCCGAACTTGAGGCGGTCCTTCGGGGCCTGCTTCTGCAGCTCGGCGGAGAATACATCGCCAAACGCACCGCCACAATACCTCTGGGCGGCAACCATGAAGGCCCCAGTGTTCTCATACCCAGAGGTATCGACGAGCCATTCGGAAGGCCCATCCTTGGGGGCAAGAAGAACCGGGACGAGCGTGAACCCGGCCTTCTCATACGCGGCCACCCGTTCAGCAGACTCCCGAGCCGCCTTCAGGGCGGCCTGTAGCTCCTTCTCCTTGGCAGCTACCTCCTTCTCCTGGTGACGGACGGCCTCCCTTGCCTTCTTCAAAGCGGCATCCGCCTTGTTTTTAGCCTGGAGGGCCTCAGCGTCCCTCGCGGCCTCGGCTTGCAGCACGGATAGCCCGACCTACAAACCAAACACGAATGTAAGACTTCGAGTCGACAGCATACAAATGATCAACTACTCAACATAAGGCAGAGTCTTACCTGAAGAGCGGCGGCCAGAGCCGCGTTTGAAGCCTCCGAAGACGTTCGGGGAGGCACCTCCACCCCAGCCAATGAGGCAACTTCCTGCCAGACGTCATGAGCCGGACGTCCTAGGAGAGGAAGGACCATTTCTTGTTCGTCGAGGGCCGAAGAGCTGGCCCCCCGAGGCCTCTTCGCCTTCTTATCCTTCACTTTTTCCCCGCCTTGGGGATGGACGGTCTGCAGGGGCGCCACCACCTCAGGGACGCCAGAATCAGCATTCGGGGCCTGGGACCCCTGCGCCATCACTGTGGCGATAAGATGTTATTCTGCCTCCACCGTGCGACGATCGGCCTGAGAGGCGGAGGAGTTAGAATCGGCCGTTTGGACAGCCTTGGCCTTAGCAAGGGCGGCATCGGCGGCAGCACCCTTGCCCTTCCGGTTCTTCAGGAGCTTGGCGTGGTTCATTTGAGCTGAGGTGGGGGTCAGACCTGCGGATAAAAACACAAGGCGTCAGAAATTAAACAAAGAGTTTGACAAAGTACACTCACCCCAGAGGATAGGACTGCCCGCCCGGTGCCCCAAGACGAGCGTATGGGGGAGTTGAGAGTCCAGAGACACGGGCGGTACCTATTCCTGTTGCGGCAAGTGCCTCGAAGGTGAGGAAATCATCCAAAGGCCGGACGCCGCCCGTCGATATCTTCCTTATATCTTCCCCCAGATCTTCGGTCAGATCCGGCGACCCTATCTTGGGTGGATAACCATTCCATCGCAATGGCAGACGAGCATCCTCATACCGCACAAAGAAGAAGCGATTTTTCCAATCATGGATGGAGCTCGGTGCGCCGCTGAACAGCTTCCATTCGGACGAGCGGCGACGCTCAGGAAGCCATCAGAATTTTGAGGGGTGAGCCGGAAGAAGTAATGGAACAAGTCCAAAGTGGCAGTGACCCCATTGTCCTTACAACGGACTAGGAACGCAGAGACGAACCGATATGAATTCGGCATGAGTTGTGCAAGGGCTATTTGATAGCAGCAGAAGAACTCCACATAGAATGGGTGGAGGGGGAAACACGGCCCGACCTCGATGGAATCCAGGAGCACCATGACCATTCCCGGGCGTCTTCTCATCATGTGGGATGCGCCCCGGAGGCTATATACGGACGGAGGGGGAAGTACACCTTAAGCTTATTGAGAGCTACAGCCGAGAAGACTTGCTCATGCCCTAAGACATTCTTAATCGGGCAAATATGACGCTCCACATCTATCTTAAGCCCCAAATCAAACACCTCTACATCGGATCCATCTTCGACCTCAGCTCCCGAATCATAATCCGTTGGACGATCGTCCCCGGGGGTCGTGTTTTTATTCCCTATATCAGCTTGGTCCACCACCTCTAGGACCATGTCATCTCCACGATCTGCAGATGTGGCCGCCTCTTCGGCATTGGGTACGATAGCATTAACGGCGGCACTGTCTTCCTGTATAATGCCCACAGTCGAGGCCGAACCAGAACTACCTGAGACGCTGGCCTTGTTAGAAGAACGCGAGGAGGAGCCGGAGCCGGAACCTGAACCAGAACTGGAGGAGGAACCCGAGGAAGAGCCCGAGGGGCTAGAGCTGGAATCCGAGGAGATTTCCATGGAGGCCGTTGGGAAGATCAGAAAGGGATTATAGAGAAGGGGGAAAAGAACCCAAGTTACCTTAGAGGGGGGAGAGCGAGCCGATGAACCTTGCGGATGAACAGAGCACCGAGCAGCAGAGATCCTAGAGCGAGAGAGCAGAAATCGGGAACCCTAATCCTAAGGGAAACCCCAATATTTATAAGGGAGGCACCGATTCAGGGGCCAACGAAGGGGTGACACGTAGTGAGGAGCGTATCCAGGCTCCCGCGCTGCGCGTGGGATGGAAGTGTAATGATGGCCTTTCCTGGGGAAGTGCACCGTTTCTATAGTAGCCGCCACCTCGATCCCTAAACCGCCGCCAGCGGGTAGGCACCATGACCATGAGCGTCCACCTTCGCAAACACAACAAACACAAGTACAATGCCACGAGCGTCTACCCGTGAGGAGCATCATACTTCTTTATGTCCTGCGCAAGCTCAGACCATCAGAAGTGGGGGACTTGTGTTGGGTTAATGGCCCAAGTAGAAGATCGGCCCATTTTCCCCTTTTATTCGGACGGACGTCCGGACAGAACTGGGTGGGCAAAGCTGACAGGCAACTTGGAAGGGACGCACGTTGTCACCAAAGCCTGGGTTTACCCGCCATATCGACGAACGTCTACGCAGTCAACAACAAGCAGGCCCACAGGCCCCCAGAATGACGACAGACGTCGTCAGAACAAGCTCATAGCCGTTGGAGGCAATCCAATCCACATGGGCTTGTTCCCCCAAGGGCTAAGGGACGAACGGCCCAGTACCCTTTGCGAAACCACCAGGACCGACTCACCTCCCCAGCTGGACGAACGTCGCCACTAATTAGGCGGGAAACCTAGATTCTGGCGGGAAGTGCATTTAATGCCGAAGATTTGGTGGTTAAGACACCAGCCATCCACGGTCCTCCACGTCAGCGTAGCCAACTGCCCATTGGTGGTATAAATAGAAGCATTTATTTCATTGTAAAGGGTTGGCAACTTTCTATTCTTAGCACTCTAGCTATAGCATTCTTACTCGCAGCACCTCTACTGCCTTGTAAGACGAACGGCCGACGAGCCTTAGCGAAAGTATTGTATTAGGGAGTTATTAACAGATAATAATACCTAATCACTTACTTGCTACTTATTGTTTCTTAATACCTATCACTTGCTAGTTGGGCTAGATATTCGTACACACTCCACTCGAAATCCTTGGGCTTACGTGTTGGACCCGAGGGTTGAAGGAATAAACCTCAACAGTCTGTTTGTGTGTTGTGAAATGTCTGTCACACGTTTTGAATTGTCTGTAAGGAGTTCATACATGAGTGTGATGTTTTAAATAGATGTCTGTCATTCATATTTCCATGTTTGTCATTTGTTTTGAGTTGTCTGTCATTTGTTGTGATGTTATAAATACATGTTTTTTGTTGTTTCCAACCTTTTTTCTGTAATGTATACAAGTGCCCCTCGGATTTTCTTGTAATAATACTTTAAAGAATTATTTAGAGATAAAGCAGTTGTAATAAAGGTTTTAATAGAGACTAAAATTATCATTTCGTAAAGGTTACGTAAAAGATTTAGAAAAGTAGAAATGTCACCCCCTATGAGTTTCTGAGCATCATAGGAAGAACATTCTAAGATTCAACACAACCCACCCGCTCCCATCTCCCAAAAGTTTGTAAAATTGCCAAATGGGTTCAATATAAGACAAATGATTATGATCTCATAAAAATATAGGGCTCTACCCTCCAAAGCAAATTTGGGAATACTCCAAGGCTAAAAAATATTAGCAAGCATCAATCATGTGCCATATTTATGTCATTAAAATGGATCATGTACGTATGTAAGCATATTCTTGTTTCGTGCTAATCACAATATGCATTTGTCTATCATTCATATTTTCTTGTCTGCCATTTGTTTTGAATTGTCTGTCATATGTTTGGAATTATCTGTAAGAATTTTATAAATGTCTGTGATGTTATAAATACATGTGTGTCGTTCATATTTCCTTGTTTGTCCTGTGTTCTGAGCTGTCCTTCAGGACTTTATAAATGTATGTGATAGATAGATGTCTGTCATTCTTATTGACTTGTTTGTCTTATGTGGTGTGCATTTTTGGACATGTCATAGGCCTTTCGAATTGCATATTCCTGTCCGTGACCACTTCCCTGCTCAAATATTACTTTGTTCAGAATTGAAAGATATGATGTTGCAACGTTGGTGAAATCAGCGTTGTCAGTTCAGCATATTGCTCAGTTTCGGAATATGTCGTGGGGCCATCTTTTGATGTGTTAGACCTTCAGTTCTCTGCGTAAATTGTCCATAGCTTGTAATTGAGATTTGTGTGTGACCAACCCAAAGACGAACTGTGGTTTTGCGTCAATGACCAGTTGTTGAAGTTTACTTATGCAGATTTTGAACGCATAACTGAGCTCCATTTTATAGGTCCAACTCTGGTCATCTCCGATGATAATGAAGGCAATGAGACGTTGCTAGATAACTACTTTGGTGGTGCCACCGAGATCAGCTTTAGGACGTTGACGGCAAAGATGAAGTCAATTAAGCCGAAAAAGAGAGGAGCTCGCGATAATCCTCTCAAGCTTGCATGTGCTTTCTATGTGCAGTGTGTTTTACTACCAAGGAACAAGAAAACAAATATGAATTCACAGTTTCTGAAATTGGCTGATGACTTGGACAAATTTAAAGCCTACCCTTGGGCAAAAGAGTCCTACAATCTGATGGTTCTCATATAAAGACTTTTATGGTTGGGCAGGGCGAGAGGTTCAAGGAGAGTAAGAAAGCCAATCCCGAATACAAAAACGCAAAGTTCACATTGCACGACCTTCCTCACGTCCTGCAGGTAATGTACACCTTATATTTCATTGTGTGTTTGTATTGTCATGTTGCATGAAACATATAGTTGTCTGTATGGCAAATATGTAATTTGAAAGACAAAAAATATTATTCTCTCACACAGAAAATTTTATTCTTCCACACAGACACTTCATTCTTTTATACAGACAATTCATTAGTGGAGACACACAACTTATTCTGCCACACATTGTTTATTTTTCAGGTTTGGGCTTACGAGAGTCTGTCTGAGCTAGGACAGAGATGTGTTAAACGCGTTGGTAATCATGACGTCCCCTTGCTCAACTGGAAGGCTACGGGGTTCTTTCATTTGCAAAAGCTAAATGAACTCATTTTCAAGGATCATTACGATGTAATATATTTGTGTGTTTTTAAAATATTAAATTTTGCTTCAAAGTGTGTAAATTACTATAGCTTGTACGTGCAGGAGAAAGACGAAGACAAGGAAGACGATGGTGAAGAAGCAGCGGTGGAGGATACTGAGGATAATGATGGCTTCAAAGCTAAGATGATGGGCCGGAGGACATGGAAATGCTACGGGCGCAAGTGGTGTCTCTCGAGGCAAGGCTAAAAGTAATGGAAAAGAGGATGAATGTCGGGAGTGTGGCTGAGGAGAAGCATGTCACACTCCCGACATTCATCCTCTCTTCCATTACTTTTAATCTTCGGCATGCTTCTCTTCAGCCACACTCTAGACATTCATCCTCTTTTCCATTACTCTTAGCCTTGCCTCCAGAGACACTACTTGCGCCCGTAGCATTTCCATGTCCTCCGATCCATCATTTTAGCTTTGAAGCCATCATTATCCTCAGTATCCTTCACCGCTGCTTCTTCACCATCGTCTTTCTCGTCTTCGTCTTCCTCCTGCAGTACAAGGTATAGTAATTTACACACTTTGAAGCAAAATTTAATATTTTAAAAACACACAAATACATTATATCGTAATGATCCTTGAAAATTAGTTCATTTAGCTTTTGCAAATGAAAGAACTCCATAGCCTTCTAGTTGAGCAAGGGGACGTCATGATTACTAACGTGTTCAGCACATCTCCGTCCTAGCTCAGGCAGACTCTCGTAAGCCCAAACCTGAAAAACACAAAAGAAAATTAAACAAAAACAATGTGTGGCAGAATAAGTTGTGTGTCTACACTAATGAATTGTCTGTATAAAAGAATGAAGTGTCTGTGTGGAAGAATAAAATTTTCTGTGTGAGAGAATAATATTTTTTGTCTTCCAAATTACATATTTGCCATACAGACAACTATATGTTTCATGCAACATGACAATACAAACACACAATGAAATATAAGGTGTACATTACCTGCAGGACGTGAGGAAGGTCGTGCAATGTGAACTTTGCGTTTTTGTATTTGGGATTGATTTCTTACTCTCCTTGAACCTCTCGCCCTGCCCAACCATAAGAGTCTTTATATGAGAAACCATCAGATTGTGGTACTCTTTTGCCCAAAGGTAGGCTTTAAATTTGTCCAAGTCATCAGCCAATTTCAGAAACTGTGAATTCATATTTGTTTTCTTGTTCCTTGGTAGTAAAACACACTGCACATAGAAAGCACATGCAAGCTTAAGAGGATCACCGCGAGCTCATCTCTTTTTCGGCTTAATTGACTTCATCTTTGCCGTCAACGTCTTAAAGTTGATCTTCGTGGCACCACCAAAGTAGTTATCTAGCAACGTCCCATTGCTTTCATCATCATCAGAGATGACCGCAGTTGGACCTATAGAACGAAGCCCAGTTATGCGTTCAAAATCTGCATAAGTAAACTTCAACAACTGGTCGTTGACGCAAAACCACAGTTTGTCTTTGGGTTGGTCATACAGAAGCCTCAATAACAAGCTATGGACAATTCGCGTAGAAAACTGAAGGTCTGGCACATCAAGAAGATGACCCCATGGCATTTTACGAAACTGAGCAATCTGCTGAAGTGACAAAGCTGATTTCACCAATGTTGCATCGTCTTTCAATTATGAACAAAGTGATATTTGAGCAGGGAAGTGGTCGCGGACAGGAATTTGCAATTCGAAAGCCCTATGACATGTCCAAAAATGCATACCACATAAGATAGACAAGTAAAAAAGAATGATAGATATCTATCTATCACATCACATACAGACAGCTCAGAACACAAAACAGACAAGGAAATATGAACGACAGACATGTATTTATAACATCACAGACATTTATAAAGTCCTTACAGACAACTCCAAACATATGACAGACAATTCAAAACAAATGACACACAAGAAAATATGAATGACAGACAAATGCATATTGTGTTAGACACGCAACAAGAATATGGATGGATGGCTTCGGTTGTCATTTGTATTTCTGAATGGCGGTTCAAAGTCGAGGGGGGTGCGGGAGTACGGGGCGGGAGGAATGGATGGATGGAAGAGAAAAGAAAGATGGGTAAAAATTTGAATTGAAAAGGAAGTGAGGTAAAAAAAGGGGAGATATTTATATGGGGTACCAAAGGTGTACACAATTTGTGTACACCTAGCAAAATTCTTACTAAATAGCTTCGCTATGTGTGTACTTTCATGATTTATAGACTATTCACGCGGAGCAACTTTTCTGCACATTAATGAATCACTAAAGCACTTGACTGTGCTCCAATTTGATGTTGACCATCTTGAGTCATTGATTCTTTTTTATGATGTTAACCATTCTATTAATCCTTGACATTGACTCTCTCAAGGATTGTTTTAAAACTTCTATAAGTGGACTCACTCTCCCACTTTCTACTTAAAGAAATCGAAAAACTGCTTGCCTCTGCTTTGGGTAACCATATGAAAGACCTACTGATGAAGGGATAGCTACTACTAATTGAAGGAAGACAAGATCTCTAAGCAGGAGACGTTCTAGTGAAGAGTAAGCTTCCGAGTGTGTAAAACCAAATGGTATATTCTTGAGGGATGTTTTTTAGGTAACCGATATTCTAAAACTTTATATTGTGAGGGTGCCTTTGGTGAGCAATTATTTTCACACTCGGGGATGAATTTCTTGGTCATGCTTCGGAGAAGAGAAAAGGACCCATATTTCATCGATGGAGGATCTGTGGGACTCTGATACAAATTAGGATATTTGTTTCAAAGCTATGTTGGTCAAAAGACAAAACTGTTTGCCTATGGAGCACTTGAACACTCAACTTAAGATATATAAAAAAAGAATCAACGTTCACATCTTGTGAGGACAAGATCTCAAATAAGAGCGGAATTTTGAAGAATTGAATGAGTTCTAGGGACATATTTTCAGGTCGGATTTTTGCTCATCTTTGTTTTTTTCTTCCCTTTTGTTGTTTTCTTTTCTTTATTCTTGCTCTGCACACTAAAGCACTAAAATGAACTGTTTTTATTCGATTATCATATTTAATTTAGCCTTAGCTTGCATGTAAAATAAATGTTTAGCATCTTCAAAATGACATATTTAGATACTACTTTATGCTTTTTAGTTTTTAGAGTCAAGTTTCAATAAGCACTTACCTTGGAGTTTTAAAAGCATTTTATAGATAACAATTCATACAGCAAAATTGAAAACCACATGCTACATTGACTTTCACAAAACAGTGGCTACATCAAAGAGTGTGATGAGTGTAATGTAACAACTACTATACGCTAAGAAAGTCAATGTAGGATGCGAGTTTAAATTTCACTACATGAATTGTGGCCTATAAAATACTATTGAAATTCTAAGGTATATGTGTGTTCAAATTTGACTCTAAAAACACCTAAAATCATAACTAAATATTACTTTTTGAAATGATAAAACTGAGTGTGTCTTAGTGTTTCAGTATGTGTTCAAAAAACTACTCATCACGACAAGCAAACAAATCATGAAAGAAGCATATGTAAGGTATACTCTATGTCACGGGCATAGAGTCTGGCGCAGCCCACAGCGCCCGTGCGGCGTCCCGGGGTCCCTCTCATCCCCGAGGACCAGCCTCGCTCTCATACGAACCGAACTGGTTTCGCCCTGCCTTGGGCTCATCAGGGGAACGGCAATAGCTCCCGACCAGTTGTGCCTTCAGACACGCGTTCGTCTCCTTCATAGTCAAGCCCCTTGCCCAACTCGGCCAGACCTTAGCGTCTAAGGCAGAACTCCCCTTGACGCTATTGCCTCCCACATGCCTTACCCGACATGCTAGCCAGTCGGTCCGTCCCATTCATTGAGCCTAACACGGTCACGACCAACGGTCCGTGACATTCTCCCCCACCCAAAATATAGCACGTCCTCGTGCTAGGGGAGACGACTCTGCCCGAGGATCGTCATGCTTAATATTGTCAACGCGTCTCATTGCCAGGCCGCCTCCCCTTGACGCAGCCCGGCTGAGCTGGTGGCCACCCGAGTCCCCATCATCTCAGGAACCCATCCGCCCCTGCGGACCATCAGGAGTGGAGCCGACATCAGCACGTACCAGCCCTTAAGCCACCATGCTCGCATAGTCCTCGTCCCTCACGAGGACCCCACCATTCCACGCGACAATATAAGCACGACCCGCTCTGATACCACTTGTCACGGGCATAGAGTCTGGCGCAGCCCACAGCGCCCGTGCGGCGTCCCGGGGTCCCTCTCATCCCCGAGGACCAGCCTCGCTCTCATACTCTAATGTAATAACTGTTCACTAAATCAACGTTGCCACACTATATTTGTTAGAATAAAAAGCAAAAGACGACATTATTTCAAGATTAAAGCTGAAATTTTTAGGGTTCAGTTCTTAGAAGCATTCTGAAGATAGTCTGCCAGTGCATCTGCAACAATGTGAGCATGCATAGTTTTGCTTATGTTTTTAGCAGGATATCCATTTTGCTTCATAAAATTCCAGATTGCCCTGTCAAGATCTGGCTTAGTGTAAAAAGGAGCGAACTGGAGAGAAGACTTACGCATAGCAGCCAGGAAAGAGGCAACATCTTCAGGAGAATAAGTGCCATCTTGGAAATTCCCAGACACAGTTGAGTTTATAATAGCAGCCATTTTTTCATTGACACTTAATACTGAAGGAACAGCCTTTGGAACTGCAGGTGCTTTCATGGGCGCTTGCCTCTTCAACAGAGATTTCAGGCAGGGCATTCCACTGGTTTTAACATTTGCTGATGGTACAGAACTTGTTGACATCTCCTTTGTCAAAAGAGTTCCTGAAAAATTCAGGGTCTGTTCTGGTTGGGGAATAATTGGAGGCTGCAAGAACTGATTTTTTGGAGCCATGGCATGTTGTGAAAGCTTCACTTTCAAACCCTTTATAAGCTGGCAAGATTCTTTTCTGAAAGATTCATTTGAGGCCAGACAGGCGCTGACATTCGATTGTAGTGAGTTCAGAACGTTTATCATCTCATCCAATTGAGATTCTCCTCTGAGGCTCCATCCAAGTAACACCCAACTCAAGCAATCCATATCCTGGACATCATTGTTCTCCAGAACTTGAGCGAGGGCTCTCAGTTGTTGCCTGGTCAAGGCTTGGCCTGTCCTCTTTGCCCATAAAGTCACTTGTTTCTCTGCAGGAGAAATCTCTCCGTCGTTATTAACTGATAGAGATGAAGTTGCCAGACTCATATCCGTTTGTAATTGGAACGGATGAACACCAGATCTGAATTAAATAACACCTGTTGAGGGGGGATTGTAGGAATTCCGGGGCTGTTCATTTTAGACGGAGCAGTTGGGGGAAGAGGGGTTTAATGCACCAAACCCCCCATGTGATTTGGAAATTCGGCGCATTAGGCTCCTGTGATTTAAAAAATGCGTCAAACCCCCCTGTATTTTAATTAATCATGCGCCAAATCCCTTATGTGAACAAATTCAATTGTCAAACAAAAGAAAAATGATTAACATTTTTGTATGATTCAGATATTTTGACATATTTATTTGCATATTTAATCAAAATATTAGGAAAAGTAATTTTCAAATCGTTAAATTTATTCATAAAGGGGGTTCTGTGCATGATTAATTAAAACACAAGGGAGTTTGACGCATTTTTTAAATCACAGGGGGCTCATGCGCCGAATTTCCAAATCACGGGGGGGTTTGATGCATTAAACCCGGGTAAGAGGGTCAGACGGAATGTTGCCTGAATAGTTGAGTTCCTATTGCAAGAGCCCGATAAGGATCCGACAGAATGTGTTAATTGTGCTAAATTAAATTTGGATTGCAATTTAACCTAAGAAAATAGAGTAAACGGGCAAATAAGACCATGTACTAACAAAAAAAGGTCAAATAAGGCTTTATTTAAGAGGTTATGTCATGTCGTCGCCTTTTGAGGTGGTTTCCGGTGGAATTTTTTGATGAAATTTTTTGAGCATCTTATTCAATAAGTCTAGTTTACTCATACCAAATTTCAGCTAAAACTTCAATCGGTGAGGCATTCAAATGAATTCTTGAAGATAACTACGCAGTTAAAAGCGCATTTACAAGATTTTCTTTCAAAAAAAATATTCAATGAATCAAAAATATTACCAAAATAGAATTTATTTACAAGAATATGATTAATAGTTAGTACAGTATAGTGTCATGGTAACTTAAGTTTATAAAATGAACATAAGTTACCATGATTTTGTTATTACCCTAATCATTGATCACATTTTTGTAGGGATGTCAAAAAAACCCGACCCGCGGTGACCCGCCCTGGCCCGAAACATTTGGGGCGGGTCCGCCCCGCCCCGTGTTCCAAATGGGGCGGGTCCGCCCCGCCCCGCCTATACAATGGGGCGGGTCCGGGTATTAGTATTGACCCGTGCCGCCCCGACCTGCCCCGACCCGACCCACTCAATACATAAGCATACATACTTTTTCTTAAATTATACTACAAATATACTTCAACATACATATGTGTGTATACAGTAAATCATAAATTCTTTGATCTTATAATATATTAATACATATATTAGAATGAGATGAACGACGGGTTATCAATGTCTTCTTTATATATACTATTTTAATACATATGTTCAATTATTACTATAATTAAATAGATTAATTATTCAAGTCTGAGTAATTTTTGCTTGATTTTTGAAATTTTTAGGGTATCATGAATTTGATTTAATATATTAATTTTTAATTATTATTTAGAGATAAACTTTATGTGGATTTGTTGAGGTTTATTCCTTCAACCCTCGGGTCCAACACGTAAGCCCAAAGATTTCGAGTGGAGTATGTGTAAGTAAACTAGCCCAACTAACAAATGAGATGGATCAAGAAACAACAAGGTAGCCATTAAATGATTAGGTATTATTATCTCTTAATAACTCCCTAATACAATACTTCTCACTAAGGCTCGTCGGCCGATCGTCTTACAAGGCAGTAGAAGTGCTGCGAGTAAGAATGCTATAGCTAGAGTGCTAAGAATAGAAAGTTGCCAACCCTTTACAATGAAATAAATGCTTCTATTTATACCCACCAATGGGCAGGTGGCTATACCGACGTGGAATCCCGTGGTTCGCTGGTGTCTCAACCACCAAATCTCCAGCATTAAATGCACTTCCCGCCAGAATCTAGGTTTCCCGCCCAATTAGTGGAGACGTTCGTCCGCCAGGGGAGCGAGTTGGATTGCTCCAGGTGGCCTCCAAGGGGTGTCGGCCGTTCGCCCCCTGGCCCTTGTGGATTCTCGCCATGTGGCCTGGACTGCCTCCAATGGCTATGGGCTTGCTCTGACGACGTTCGTTGCCATTCAGGTGGCTCGTGGTCCTGCTCCTTGTTTCTGCATAGACGTTCGTCGAGATGGGCCGTTGAGCCTGAACCCCATCTGCAGACGTTCGTCCATCCTGGAGGAAATGGGCTTGCCAGGCTAGCTTAATGTTCTACCTGGACGTACGTCCGGAAGAAAGGGTAAATGGGCCGGTCCTCAGCTTGGGCCATTAACCCAACACAAGTCCCCCACTTCTGATGTTCTGAGCATGCACAGGACATAAGTATGATCTCTCTTGAGGGTAAGACGCTCGTGACCTGGTACTTGTGTTTGTTGCATCTGGTGAAGGTGTACGCTCGTGGTCATGGTGCTTAACAGCTGTCGATGGCTCAGAAACCGAGGTGACGGCTGCTATTGCGACGGTGCACTTTCCGAGGAAATGTCATCATTACACTTCCACCCCACGCACAACGCGTGAGCCGGAACACGCTCCTTGCTACGTGTCAACCCTTCGTTGGTTCCCCCATCGATGCCTCTCCTATAAATGCCGGGTTTTTCCTCTGGACTAGGGTTCCCAATTTCTGCTCCCTCGCTCTAGAATCTCCGCTGCTCCTCGAGTTTTCTTCCCCGCTTCAGAGTTCCGCTACCCTCCTCGTAAGGTAATTTTCCTCCTCTTCTTCTTTTCTCTGTCTTGAATTCTCGCCAAGATGACCTCGATGGAGATTTCGTCGAGTTCTAGCTCCGGTTCGTCGGGTTCTTCCTCGGGCTCCTCCTCTGATTCCGGTTCACGCTCCCCCGGAAAGGCTAGTGTCTCAGGGAGTTCAGGTTCGGCCTCGACTGTGGGGACTATCCAGTCCGATGGTGCGCCTGATAACGTTTCCCAAGGTAGCGGGAGCAATGCTGACAACAGAAATGTTGACGGGGCGATGGACGTTGTTGATGCAGTCCCCCTTAACGAGCGCCCGGCTGACTATGATTCTGGGGGAGAGGCCGAATCCGGCTCTGACATGGAGGTGCATGATCTGGGCATCCCTATGGACATGGAGCGCCACATTTGTCCGATTAGGAGCGCCCTCGATCACGATCAAGTCCTTTCCCGTGTGGCTCTCAACAAAATCCGCACTTTCTCCCCCCCCCCCCCCCCCCCCCCCCGCCGTTCGTCTGGAGCGTGAGAGGCGCTGAGCATGTGATGAGGAGACGTCCGGGGATGATTATGCTCCACTTGGACTCTGTTGAAGCCGGGCTGCGGTTTCCACTCCATTCATTCTATGTGGAGTTCTTCCACTGCTTCCAGGTGGCCCCGGCTCAGTTCATGCCAAACTCCTATAGGTTTATATCAGCCTTCCTGGTGCGCTGCAAACTTGCGGGAACCACTGCCACTTTGGACCTGTTCCACTACTTCTACCGCATCACTCCCCAGAACTCCGATGGTTACCTGAGCGTGGCCGCACGTCCAGGAAGGAGGCTGTTCAAGAGCTATCCTTCGTCTATCCACGATTGGAAGAATCGTTTCTTCTTCCTTCGATACGACAGCCCTCCTCTCCCGGTTCGGTGGAACGGCTATCCCCCAAAGATTGAGTCACTGGAGCTGACCGACGATCTGAGCGGGGATGTGGAGAAGGTGTTACAGGGCGGCATCTGCCCTATTGCCGGCCCGCGGCTACCTGACCCTCGAGGCCCTCTCCGGGGCAGGCATAGGTACCGCCCAGTCCCTGGACTTTTTCCACCCTTCGACGTTCGTCTCGGGGCATCGGGCGGTCCTGTCCTTCGAGGTGAGTGTCCTGTCCCATTTTCCGTTCGTCTCTTAACCCTTTATTGTTTCATGCAGGTTCTCCACCAGACGAAGCCCAGATGAATCACGCCGAGTGTTTGAAAACCAGGAAAGCCAAGGCGGCTGCCGCCAAGGCCGCGGCGGAGAAGGCCAAGAATGCCCCGACCTCGGACTCTACTTCTTCGGCTTCTGATGCCGCTCGGCGCACGGCTGAAGGTGAGCAGCATCTGATTGCCACCGTGCTGGCCCAAGGGTCTGGGCCCCCCGCTGCTTCTGCTGCTCTTCCGCCGCCGGTCGTCCCTACGAAGGCGGTTTCTCAGAAGGGGGAGGAAAAGGCCCCCCAGAAGAAGCACAAGAGGGGCCGCGAGGTGGCCTCCACCGGGCCCCTGCTAGAGGACGCCGGCTCTCTGCCCCTGAGCCGTCCGGCGGAAGTACTCTGGAGGGAGCTGGCCCTCAAGGCCGGCCTTGAGCTGCCTCCCCGCTCGTCTTCCGAGGCGACCAGCGCTGCTCTGGCAGCTGCTCTTCAGGTATTCCTCCGTTACTAGATCTGAGCACATCTCTTATTTGCTATTCATCTTCTGACCATGTGCTTTTAATTTTCCTTCTGTTTTCCAGTCTGGGCTTCTAGTCCTCCAGGCTGAAGCTGTCAGGGAGGCCGACCTGAGAGAGGTCAAGGCCAAAGCGGATGCCGCCGTCGCTACAGCCCGGGAGGCCGCCCGTCGAGCCGGGGCGGAGAGTGCGGCCAAGGAGAAGGAGATCTCCGTTCTGCGGGCTGAATCCCGCAATCAGCTGGCCAGCCTTGAGAAAACTGGCTTCAAGCTTGTTCTGGTGCACCCTGTCGCGAAGGATGCAGACCCGGAGTGGCTGGTTGACACCTCCGGCTATCGGAAGACTGGGGAGTTCATGGACTCTGCTGAGGATTACTGCGCCGGGGCCTTCGGTCATGTGTTCTCTACGGTGCTGTCGAAGGTACCGCCTCAGGAGCGTCTGGCGTGCGGTGTTCGGATCCTGGAGAGCTCTCCCCTGACGCACAAGTTCCTTTATGAGGTCGGCGACAGTACCTTCGCCGCCGGGTACAATGAGGGGGTCAAGGCCACTCTCCCCATATTCACCAAGCTGCAGGGGGCTGATTTTGATTTGGCCGCAAATACCGACGACGACCTGCTGATCCAAGCTTTGGGGAAGCTAGGGAGGGATCGGCGTCGGGAAGAAGCCAAGGCCAGGGGAGAGATCCCGGAGCCGCCGACCTCCGAGCCTGAAGTTGAGGAGGAAGAGCTGAACCAGGAAGGCAGCCGGCCGGGGTCCCCTTTTCTTGTGTAATATAGCTTGTAATTCCTTTGTTCTGAACTTGTAATGCCCAGCCGTTAGAGCTGAAGAATATACACACTTTTTGCCCATAATTGTCTCTACGTTCGTGATCTTTTACTTCATTACTTTCCTTTGCTCTATCGTCGGTTGTGTAGAATCTCCTTCGCGGCTTTGTTGTACTTTGATCTTTTGAGCTAAAGTTAAAGTCCGCGGGGACGTTCATATCGGTCCTCCATTTTTTGTTTGGGACAACATGCGCTCTCTTGCCACGTTCCCGTATCTGCTCGAATGCGCGGACGTACTGCGAAAACTCGTCGCCGATGCCTGCATGTCGGCAAGCGCGAGCATGTCACTAACTGTTATCCGTAATTAATTCCAACGGCGTAATACGAACGTGCTCCCCAGAATCAGCACTCGATAGAGACGTTCGTCCCGTATGCGTGAGCGCACCATCCGTACTGCGCGTGTTCACACCAGGCCTCGTATGGAGACGTACGTCTGGCCCCAATGTTTCTGTGGCACTAAGTACCGGAATACGAACGTATCCTGTTGACGCGTACGTCTCCCATTAGCCGCCGATATTAGGTTCGGCCGAAGGATGCGGTCTCTGGGCATCTCTAGGCCCCTTGGAGCTGATAAATTCCATCGGCAGGACGTTCGTGGCAACGATCCGGATTTCCTTGTCGTGATTGTGAGGTGATGAAATCGAGGCACCTTTAATACCGTGGTAGGTACCGGTATCCAGGTGCCACGTGTCCCTCTTCGGTTGGCGTGATTCCACGGTGCTGTCTATAAGTACTCAGAACCGTGTGATTCACTCACACTTTTCCTTACGCTGCGCAATTGCTTTCTTTCTCTAGATTTCCTACGAGCCGTGTTGAACCTCGAAACTCCAAGGTATCGTTCGTTGCCATGTCTTCTGAAACTCGTTTCGACGATGGTTGTTCTTCTGGCGATGACTTAGAGTATTATGAGCGGGGAATGCCGCCTTGGCCTCCCCGTTATAGCCTTAACTTCTCATACGTTCGGCGTCAAAGCCAACGTTTGACGAATGCCGATAAGCGTCTGATCAGCCAGTGGTTTTATCCCCCAAGGATCTACGACGATCGGCGTCTGCGCAACCCCATGCGCCACCTGCCCGGCTATGTGGTGGTCTACTTGGACTCGGTGATAGCCGGTCTGAACTTCCCTTTGCACAGCTTCCACTTGGAGCTTTTCAGAAGTCTTAAGATAGTGCCTGCGCAGTTCGTCCCTGCCGCCTATCGGATAATCGCTGGCTTCATAATTAGATGTCATAGCGTCGGCGTGACCCCCACCGTGGATCTGCTGCACCATTTCTTCTGGCTGTCCCCCTTCGGACGTACGGGGTACTTGACCCTGATCGCCCGTCCGTCCATGGTTCTGTTCTCGAACAACGCCGGGAATCCGGACGGCTGGGAAGAGCGCTTCTTCCTGGCCGGAGTAGGCTCACCGATGCCATTCCCTAACCGGTGGAATGCCTACCCGGTGAAGACGATTCCGCCGCCCATGACCGACGAGGAGCTTAAGTATGCCAAGCGCATAGCTGGATTCGGCATCCAGAACCTTCGGTTGCTGGTGGCCGAGCCTTTTAAAGCTCGGGCTGGGTTAGGTGCGTCCGTTTGTACTTGTATTGTTTTATCATCTTCTTCATTGTTACGGCTCTGAACGTCTTGGTTCTTTTTGTGCAGGAGTTTTCCCATCTATGTCCACCATGGGTCGTATCAACAGCGCTTCAACTGCCACTGGCCGCGAGCACAAGGACCGTAGCAAGCTCGAGAAGCCGCTCGTTTCCAAGGTCGAAACTCGGGTGACCAGAGCACGGGCTGATGACACTTCGGGGGCCGGTGCTTCCAAGAGGCCTCGTGTCGAGGGTACCGCTTCCAAGGCCATCATAGTGGCCGATGACTCTGATGGTGAGCCCGGGAGTCCCCTCAAGCGGAAGCCCACTTCCCGGAATAAGCCCCATATTTCTCCCCCGCGGAATTCTGACGTCCGTCGCCTCCGAGATGAGGATGCCCAGACTGCCAAGGGCTCTGACGACGCTAGTCCTATTTTGCCCCCAGAAACCAATGGGTCCTCCCTTGGCCTGATTGAGTTTTCCGGGGTTGGTCCCCGCAAGGAGTCGATGATGCTCTTTGGCCAGACAGCGTCCTCTATCTGGTGTGGCCTGAATCTCAAGGTTCCCCAGGACTTCGCCGCTCAAGAGGCCCCTGAAGATCTCTTAGAGTGTGGTCGGAGCACCCTGGATAAGGCCGGGCTCTACTTTCACAGGGCTCGGATGGCCTTCGAGCATCAGGGTAGGGAGATGGCCAGAGTACGGGCTGAATGTGATGCCCTTCTGAGGAATGCCAAAGGCAGGGCTGGAACTCCCCAAGAGAAGGCCGATGCCTATGACAAGCTTGTCCAGGAGAATGCTTCCCAGAAGGAGCTCCTTAGGAAACAGGAGGCCGAGCTCGTGGACCTCTGTAGCCGGATGTGGGCCGTAGAGCAAGACAAGGTGGAAATCCGCCGTACGGCCGTGGACAATCATGTTCCCATCTATGAGGCCGATGTTGCCAAGATCAAGGAGTCTGGTTCCATTGAGTTCCAGAAATCCAAAGCTTATACTGGCGCCATTCATACCATGGCCATGAGGTTCCTCCCGAGGCTCGTTGGTGAATTTTTGGCCACCTGCCCGGATGGCCGGATCCTTATCTGGATGGGATTAAGTTGCTCCAAGCCACCCCCACCGGAAGGCGTTTCCTTGATGATCTCGCCGATGATACCTATCGCAAGGGCATGGTTGGGCTAGTGGCAGAGAATCCCCGACGTTCGAGCGTCACTTCGGGGCTCCTTTTGATCCGGAGGCGGCTGGCTTTGATCTGCTGATGGTGGACGCCCATGCGGGGGCACTTGAGCTGCTGAGGGAGCTTGGGGAGCAGGAGGCGGCCGAAGCCAAAGAGAAAGCCAAGCAGATCCCCTTCAAGGCCCCAACTCCGGACGTTGATCAGCAGTAATTCTCTGTTCATTGTCTTGTACTTATATCAATTTTTTCATTGTTTACATTGTACTTTTCACATTTGAATCTTTCCGGTCATCAGTACCGAAGAATAAAAATCATCCTTGCTCCATGTTCGTCTAGCATATCTTGCTTCTCTCTCTCTCTCTCTCTCTCTCTCTCTCTCTCTCTCTCTCTTTTGGAGTCTTTTGTCGGTCTTTGTCCTTCCCATGTTTCGTGATTACTAGTCTCCTGGTTTCGCAGGAGACGTTCGTCATCCCCACTCTGAGAAGAAACAGGTTTATCCACGTCGGGATTCCCTATCTCTGTTCATCCCCAGCCGTGAGTTACTAGTCTTCTGGCTTCGCAGAAGACGTTCGTCATCCGTCCATCAAGGGGGAGGAACTGGTATACCCTGTTAGGGTTCCCGTTTCTTCGTCCGTCCTTGTCGGGACCTTACTAACCTTCTTACTTCGAAGAAGATGTTTGGTATTCACCGATCGCAAGGAGGACACTGGTTTACCCTATCGCGGGTTCCCTGCTTCGTCGTCCCATACTCGTGGCCCTACTAGCCTTCTGCCCTGGCAGAAGGTGTTCGTCGACCCACGGGAAATGGGAGGAACTGATTTATCTTGCCGAGGTTCCCTTGGGTTCGCCTCTAGCCCCCCCCCACACGTTCCTACTGGCCTCCGTATCAGGAGACGTTCGTCATACGCGGCGAAGGAAGATCTGGCATACCTCGTCAAGACTCCCTCTCTCATAGGAGCTTGACTCCCCTTCTCCTCATCTTCTTTTTTTTTTGAGGAGGAAATCTTTTCAATAGCACTTCGGTTTCAATCTATGTAGGAAGTAAAAGATGCGAAGGAATTCTTTAGCGTAGAGGAGACGATTGGTAACGTTACACGGTGCTTCGACCAAATATTACAAAAAATGATCTATCTCTAACTACTGGTAGAATTTCTTCAGGTGTTCGAAGTTCCAGATCCCGGCGTGGTTCCCCTCCAAGGTTTGGAGGAGGAACGTCCCCTGGTTGTATCTTCTCGTGACCCTGTACGCCCCTTCCCAATTCTTGGCCATCTTGCCACCTTCGAGTGGTTTGCTCTTCTCTCTCTTTCTGAGTACGAGGTCCCCAGCTTCAATTTCGCGGATCTTCACCGCCTTGTTGAAGTACCTTTGGGTGGCTTGGTGGTATTCTTCCATGCGACGAGCTGCGAGGTCCCTTCGCTCCTCGATGAAATGGAGCTCCGCTCGTAGGTTGGTCTCGTTATCCTCCGGTTGGAAATGCTTCGTGCGATGTGTGGGCACTAGCACCTCCGTTGGCACCTTGGCCTGGAAACCGTATGCCGAGGCAAAAGGTGTCTCGCCGGTTGCCGTCCTTGGGGTCGTCCTGTACGTCCAGAGTACGTAATTGAGCTGCTCCGGCCAGGTGGACGCGTAATCTTCTAATTTCTTCTTGATCCCATCCATGATGGTCAGGTTCATGTTTTCCACTTGGCCGTTGGCCTGTGGGTAGGCCACCAATGTAACACCCCGGCCCCGTAGGACCCGAGGTAGTTACTCCAGACCTCTAGTACTGTCCTCACAAACCACCACGAGCCTTTACCGCGCACTTTGTCCTCACTCATGCGCGCCCTGAGAAACTTCCCAGGGGGTCACCCATCCCAAGACTACTCCCAAGCAAGCACGCTCAACTTTGGAGTTCTTAGGTAATGAGCTCCCTTAAAAGGAGATGACCTCTGTTGGTATGAGTAGTACTATTAATCCATTTATATTAAATCTCAAGTGTTACAACCGAGGCCTTGGAGTGCCTGATGCCCCACTTCGCCAAGTATGCCTCAAATCCTCTACCGACAAACTGCCGGCCGTTG